GGAGGGAGAGAAGAAAAAAGTCAAGAGGGCAGTGGTGGGGCGGCCCCGGGTTTTGAACGCCCCGCGGGGTCCCCTCCGGCGGGGCCCAGCCACAATTCCTATCATCCCCAGCCACCCCGGTGATGGGGGTAATGAGCGGAGTAGACCAGCACCTTTGGAGGCCAGATGCTGGGGCCTTAGGATAGCCTCCCAAGGCCTCGTTTCTGGCTGAACACGGTGCAAAGCAGCATCACGCCAAGGCTTCTTTGCTTGGCAGGATGGGCGAAGTGGAGATCTCACCCCGGGCATACGTCAAGATGTGCCTGCATGCGGCCCGCTACCCCCACGTGGCAGTGAACGGAGTCCTCCTGGCCCAGAGGCGCCGGCCAGCTGCTGGTCAACCAGAATGCCTCTACGTCACAGACTGTGTCCCCCTTTTCCACAGCAACCTGTCCCTCACCGTGATGCTGGAGGTGGCCCTGAACCAGGTATGCCCAGAAGCTGCGAAGCCGAGAGCTGGTTGAACCCCGAGGGATGGGACCTAACCGCCCCTAACACCCCCTTTGCCCTGCCCCCAGCTTCTTAAGCCAACCTTCCCCAATTACCTTTTTCCAGGTGTGTTGGAGTCCAGCTCCCATCATCCCCTACAAGGACACCCAGCGGCCCTGCTGCTTGAGCAATAATGAGAGCTGATCCAGCACATTTTGAAAGCAGCAGGAAAGAAGTCGCAGTATGAGCCCAGATCAGTCATTCCTGTAACCCTCCCAACATCCCTTCCCTTCCAGAAAATCATTGGAAGAGTAGTAAAAAAAATGTGGGATATTGAGTTGTTGAGGGACTTGGAACTATATGTTTTCCAGTTTTCCTTTCAGGGTGAAAGTAGCTTTAGTCATAAAAGCCACGGATTTCAGATGCCAACTGACATCAATAATAATATACAATGCTAAAGGGTCATGGTATGATTGATTTTTTTATAGTTAGCAAAGAGCAATAGTGAACAGAAAAAGTAAAGTCTAGGCTCATACATCAGGTTAAGCCAACATCAAAGAAGCCAGGTGTGCTTTATTCAAGACACCATGGCTTAACACAATGGGTAAACCTGGCCAATTATTTACAAGACCACAATCTTCTTATAAAATTGGTTTTGCAGTTTGTAGACTGTTAGGATGTTCCAGCCCTAACCCTGTACCTTCAGCATTTAGCAAAATTGCAGATTATTGCTACTTAATTCCTAGCAGACATCATCTCGAGTCTTTAACAGGTTGCCAACATCAGCATTCATATTCCTTTGCAGGTGGACATTTGGAGCTCAGAGTCTGATTTGCTCCTCGCTGGCTATTATCAGGCCAACTCTGGCATTGATGACAAAAGGTGAATTTGAGGAGGGGAGTTTGGTGAAGGGACAGATCTGTTTTCTCCCCAAAGTATCCCTTACTCCTTCCCTTCTTCCCTCCCTGCAGCCCTTCCACCCTGGCACAAAAGACCGCTGGGCGCATTGCTGAACTCTGTGACGAGGCGGTGCTGATCATGGTGAGGCCTGGGATCCTGGGCCCTGGGCGAACTGATCTTTGAGCATTGGAGAACTAGCTGTAATGGCTAAGGGATCTTCCTTCCCAACAGTGTTCCTTTAAGCTTCTGATAGGATTGGCCCACAGGGGTTTGGCAGTTGAAATTCCACTATGCTGGTTTTAAATTGGCGCATAGAACAACTCAGGCATCCTCTGTTTTGTGGGCGTAAATGCTTTGGGGGATATAATACCAGTACCAATACCAATACTTTAATGGCCAAG